TTCATTTTGAAATTTAGACAAAAAATTTCTTTATTTGGCATCTATTCTCTATTATAGATTTTATAGCGATACTTATTGTGTGAATAATTTAAGATCTAGTAGAGAAATATGACTGCAAATTGGTATCTGACCATTTTTAAAGGTGTTGAATACAAAGACGAAGAGAAATTAACCCAATTCCTAATATTTTAAAATAATATTTGAATTTTAAAATGGTATAATATTACCTAACCAAAAAACAGGGTAACATTTTCACAAATTGCCTGACTCTCATGGGTTCAATTGTGGTGTGTAAAAACAGTTTATTAAGGTTGATTTTGATATAGAAATAAAATTTTGTGAAGTGAATTATCATGAAAAATATAGTTTTGCAACACCTGCTGTGATGTGTAAATATAGTTTTGGGACGTCAGTTATGTGTCTAAATATAGTTTTAAAACAGCAGTTAATAATAACAAATTTCAATAAAAAAAATTATTTTAATTTTAGATTAAATAATTATTAAATCTTGTTTGGTAATTCAGTTTCTTAGTCATGGCAAACAGTTAAAAGTGCATATTGGAATCAACCTAGAAAGTGAATGTCCATCATCTTACAACATATACATCGTTGCTGGGAATCGAACCTTTTGAAGATATTATTGAATATGAAAGAGAAATATTAATGTGGAGAACTGGGCTCTCAATAATAAATATCAAACCAACAACTTGTCTCCATCATAAACATGTTTATTTGAAGCGTTATACAACTAAATTAACACGGTGCTGCAATCCATTTAATACTCATAACAAAACTATAAAAGGTATTTATAGTAATCATGAATTTATAGTAAAACTTTTAGTTTTGTAGAAACGTTTTGAATTACAATAATGAAATTCTTGGCAGCAAAATTCTATTTTAGCTATATTTAACCTTTTAGCTGACTTCTGAAAGTGCACAATTAAATGCCATACAACTTTAAACTTTTGAAGGTTTTATTAAAAATTTTATACATATTAAAAGAGTTCTTCCCTTTTTTTAGGTAGTCTTCGTGAAATCAACTTGGATACAGCAAAATACCTATGCAGTAAAGGCAAATTCGTAGTTCCAGGTAAAAAACTTTGTACACAATGCAGGCATAAATTAGCAAGTGAAGAATCAGAAGAGAACGAGTTGGAGATGAAATTACCTGAAGATAATATGGAAAAAGATCTTATACTGGAATCAACAAGATCGTTGCTCAACAGTACTTTATGCGAACTTGAAGTGTCTCTTTTAAAAGTTCATTTACCCAAAACCTCTAACAAGCCTTCACTTGGAAAGAGAAAGATAAAGCAAGTTGAAGAAGCAGTTATTAAGAAGCTTGCAACTGCTCTAGATATAACCGAATCCGATCTTGTTGCACCAAAAAATGAAATTCTAAAGGAAATTCAAACCAAAGCTGGCGATCTAGACTTCCTTGTAGAATGCATGAAAGAAAAACTTAAGGTTTCTAACAGGAGACAGCAACTTCAAATTTTGACATTAACCCCAAAATCTTGGTCTATCAGAAAAGCAGCAAAAGAGTTTTCAGTTTCTAAACACAAAATTCAAAATGCAAAGTTTTTACGCGACCAAAAAGGCATCATAGCATACCCTGATGTGGTTGAACGGCATCGAATCGGTAAAGATGTTATAGAACTTGTAAAGCTTTTTTACTGTGACGATGAGTATTCAAGGCAAATGCCAGGTAAAAAAGACTGTGTAAGTGTTGGGGGAAAAAAATACATGTCAAAAAAATTGATTTTGTGTAACTTTAAGGAGCTCTATGTGGCATATAAGACAAAGTACCCAGGCCATAAAATTGGATTTTCTAAATTTTGCAGTCTTCGACCTAAATGGTGCATCCTTGCTGGTCCAAAAGGTACACATTCTGTTTGTGTGTGTACAATACACCAAAATGTTAAATTAATGTTGAGTGCTATAGGCCTTGAACCATCTTACCATGAAATTATTGAAAAAATTGTCTGCAGCAGAAAATCTAAAGTTTGCATGATTCACCGATGCAATAGTTGTCCTGGCATACAACATGCCCAAAATTACTTCCAGCAGTATCTCGCACAAAATGATGATCCAAAAGAGCAATATGACAGTGATGAAAATGAACAGTCAGTGGATTTCAAACAGTGGACAACGACAGATAGAACTGAATTATTAACAATAAAACTTCCATTAAATGAATTCATAGAGCTTCTGTGTAAAAAACTTGATAATATCACTTCTCATTCATTTATAGCAAAATCACAATCTAGCTATTTAAAGAATCTCAAAGAAACAATTAGTATTGATGAGGCTATTGTACTGGCAGATTTTGCAGAGAATTACACGTTTGTAGTACAAGACGAGATTCAGAGTTACCATTGGAGCAAGAGTCAATGTTCCCTTCATCCAGTTGTCATCTACTACAATAAAGTGAAATTGGAAATATCTTCTTTGTGTGTAATTTCAGATGATTTAAATCATGATGTTGGATTTATCAATGAGGTTATGCATAAAACCATTAATCATATTAAAACTCATCTTTGTCCCACAATTAAAAAAATTCATTATTTTTCTGATGGCTGTGCAGGGCAGTATAAAAACTACAAACATTTTTACAATTTATGTCACCACGCTCAAGATTTTTCTGTTTGTTGCATCTGGAATTTCTTTGCAACAAGCCATGGTAAATCTCCATGTGATGGAATAGGTGGCACTGTTAAAAGGCTTGTTGCAACAGCTAGCTTGCAGAGTCCAACCACAGGTCATATACTGTCTTCTCAAGCAATGTTTGAATACTGTAAAAAGTCAATCAGTGGGATTACGTTTGTGTATGTCTCTGCTGAAGAAATGGAGCTAGTAAGAAACAAACTTACAGATAGACTTTTAATAGCAACCACTATTCCTGGGACAAGAAGTTTCCATCAATTTATACCATCTTCTCATTCAATTATAAAAATGAAAAGGGTATCCGATGATGATCATTTTTCTCTAACATTTGACTTCCTCAAAAAACAAAAATATGAAATTATTAAAATTGACAATGTTTTGATGTCACAATATCTATTTTGCAAATATGACGATTTTTACTGGCTTGGTATGGTTTATGAAGTTGATAAAGAGAATGATGATTTTATGGTAAAATTTATGCATCCACATTACCCAAGTCGGTCATACCACTGGCCAAATCGGGATGATAATTGCTGGGTGCCAAGAATGAATGTTATTTGTCTTGTTAAAACACCTTCAACATCTTCTGGGCGTCAGTACCAAATCTCAAAAGAAGATGAAAATTTATTTGAACAAGTTTTATCTTTTCAGTGAAAGTTATTTAATATTTTTCTTTCATTATTTAAATGATATGAACTTAAATTTTAGTAATATTTGGTTATTACTTTTCATTTTTATTTTTGAGCTTTTTTCAATATCAGTTCATTCAACAGAGCTTTATTCAATAAATCAAGTTTGTAATATTTTTCAAAAAAGTTTGCATTTTAGTTTCTTTTTTTTTAACAAAACATTTGAGCTTGTAACCTTAAATTTGATTCATGCAACCAAGATTTTAAAATAATATCTAACTATTAGAATAATAATAAAAAAAAATTGTTCAATGTGTTGTATAGTAAATTATATTTCTATGTATACTTTTGAAAAAATAGATAAATATGCAAGTTATGCAAAGTAATATAACTTTTTTATTTACTTTCACCTAAACTTTTATAAAACCTCTTCACAATGAGAGTAAGATCTCTTATTTCACAATGAGAGTAAGATCTCTTATTTCACAATGAGAGTAAGGCAACTCCAGAAATCAGTGAAATGCAAACTATGGTTAAAAGAAAAAAAAAGGACTGTTGACATAACAAAATTCAAAAATTATTTTTAAATATCAGGAATTGGGTTAATTTTAAAAATGGTCAGATACCAATTTGCAGTCATATTTCTCTACTAGATCTTAAATTATTCACACAATAAGTATTGCTATAAAATCTATAATAGAGAATAGATGCCAAATAAAGAAATTTTTTGTCTAAATTTCAAAATGAAATATCTTTTCTATGCTTTAAGAACCCAAAACCATTTTTTTTATAAAGATAGCCTAGGATCACCTACTTCATTTGAAAAAAAAATCGAATCCATGAGACTTGGGCAACTTCGGGAATTAATGAAAGCGCAACCCATGGTTACAAAACAAAAAATTTGACTGGCCATTTTAAAATGAAAAAATAACTATCAAAAAATTTAAATTTCACTATTTTATCTACGTTTTTGAATTCAGCACCCTCAAAAATGGTCAGGTACTGGTTTTCAGCCACATTTTCCCACTAGATCTTAAATTATTCAATTAAAAGTACAACTACAAAATCCATAATGGCGGACTTCCTAAAAAAAGGAACGTTTTAGGCTAAATTTCAAAACATCATAACTTTTGAACCGTTTGGATTTGGGAGCTCAAATTTTGCATTTTTTCATGTTTCCTTAATAGTTACCACTGATAAAAATTTTAAGAAAATCCAAGGGGTGACTGAAATGACTGTCCCAGTTTTACATGGAATGACCCTGTATGTGTATCATACAGTGTATGATACACATACACTGTATGTGTATGTGTATGATACACATATTGGATGTATTTGTACATATGCATGTGTATGTATATGTATGTATGTATATATAGGTATACATGTGTATGTATATGTATGTATATATATATGCATATATGTGTGCTTTTGTGTGTATGTATATATGTATATAATAATTTAATTATTATATACATATATACATACACACAAAAGCATACATATATGCAAATATATACATACATATACATACTCATGCATACCTATATCAAAAAAAAATGCAAGATATATATTCATGTATATATACTATATATATACATGAATACATATCTTGCATTTTTTACATTTAGAATATTATTGTTATTTCTTTTATTATTGTTATATGTTTTATAAGTACTAGTGTTGTTCCTTATTATTATTATTATTATTATTATTATTATTGTTATTATTATTATTATTAATATTATTATTATTATTATTATTATTATTATTATTACTATTATTATTATTATTATTATTATTATTATTATTATTATTATTATTATTATTATTATTATTATTAGTTTATTTATACTATTATTATATGCATATACATACTTTTAAATAATTACTGCTTTCATTCCCATATTATTATTAATATCAATTAATTGGTATTTACTTTTTATTATTATACTTTCAATTATAACTGATATTACTTTTATATTATTATTGTTGTTATCATTATTATTAATAATAATAATAATAATTATTGACATTATTGTTAATTTTATTATTACTATTGTTGTTGTTATCATGAGTTTTATTTTTGTGGTTAATTTCGTTATATAATTTTTACAATAACTTTTATTCCTTTTCTTATAATTATCACTTTTTTACTTAATTTTTATTCTTATTGTTATCACTATTTAAGACCTTTTATTCAGAATAAATTTGATTTGATTTGATTTTTAGTTTTAATGAATAGCAAAATATATGAAGCAATATAAAAAAAGAAAAAAAGAGTTACAAGAAATGTTAATTTTTAGCAGTGATGATGAAAAAATTTTGTTTAATGAAAATTTGTCTACGTTAAATCCAATACTCTGTCCCTTAAATAATGAAATTGATTTTAATGAAAATATTAGCACCATTGATAAAGATGATAACTTAATTATATCTTCTGATGAAAGTTTGTCATCAAATTTTGATAAAGTTGAAAGTAAAGCATCATTGTTAAAGGAAAAACTTGCTATATGTGCAATTAAGCACTGATGGTCTTCTACATCAATAAATGATATTTTGGAAATTTTACAAGGTGAAGGCTTGCATGTGCCTAAAGATTACAGGACATCACTACACACACCATGTTAAATAGCTGTTGTTCCAAAATGTAAAGAGGACTATGTCAATTTTGGATTAAGAAATAGAATTTTGAAAGTTCTTCCTCAAATCCAGAATGTACTGAAATTAAATTAAACATTAATATTGATGGGCTTCCTATTTTTAAGTCTTCAAATTGTGAGTTATGGCCAATACTTTGTAAGTTTTCTACTAGTGATATATTTATTTGTTCAATGTTTTGTGGTGCCAGTAAACCTAATTCTTTAAATGATTTTTTGCATGATTTTTTAAATGACTATAAAGACTTGCACACCAATGGTTAAATATTTAATTAAAAAAGTGATCAGTTTCTACTAGTTCTTTTCTCTGTGATGCTCCAGCCAGAGCTTTTATGAAGTCAATTGTGCATCACTCAGGGTATAACTCATGTGAGTGATGTGAAATTGTTGGTACATATGTCAATGGGCGTGTGGTATTTCTACCTGAAGAGAATACTGTTAAGAGGGCAGAGTTGGTTTTCAACAATTTTGGCTATCCCATTCATCAAAAAGATTTAACACCTTTGGAAGAGGCTGGTATTCCATGCATCAACATATTCGTTTTAGATTATATGCACTTAGTTTGTCTTGGTGTTGTGAGAAGATTAATTCAATTTTTGACAAGTGGAAAAAAAGGACGCATTTCCATTCAGCAAAGGACACATCTATATAACCTGCATGGTGCTTTATATGGGTGTTTGCCAACTGAATTTGCAAGACAACTAAGGCAAGTAAATGATGTTGAAAGATGGAAAGCTACAGAATTTTGCTTTTTTTTTTGTTGTACACCGGACCTATAGTTTTAAAAAGAGTTTTGTCAAATGAATAGTATAAACATTTCCTATCATTAAGCATTTCCATATTACTTACTGATAACATTGATATACGTTCTCAGTATATCAGCTATGCTAGAGAGCTGATAAATTATTTTGTTAGCAAATCACCAAGTTTGTTTGGTGAATGTTTTGTTGTGTATAATGTTCATAATTTATTACATTTAGTGGACGGTGTTAAACATCACAAGTGCTCTTTAAATGATATTTCTTGCTTCCTATATGAGAGTCACATGCAACGACTTAAAAAAGATGTACGGAATGCAAATAACACTATCATTTAAATATGTAAACGAGAACAAGAGTATGAAAATGTGTTTATTTCTTTACCAAAAAGCAATAAAGTAAGTAAGATTTGAAAGATGGATGTTTTATGTTACAAAATGGAGATGTGGCTGTTGTTGACACAAAATTGTACATAATAAAATATACTGCAAAGTGTTCAAACCTTCTAACATGCGTAACGTTCATGTGGAACCTGCAGAGTCTAAGATATTCAACATATGTTTAATTAATGACTTGAACAAGAACTATAAACTTAAAGTTTTAGAAAAAAAGAATTTTATCAATAAATGTGTTTGTATTCTTGAACAGCGTGGGCATGGTATTTTTCCACTTTTGCATAGATTTTAGTTTATGCAAATTCATTTTATTATCTATTTTTATTATTTTAAATTTTTTTTTAGTTTGAGATAATAAAAATGTTCAAAAAAATTTTATTTTAATTTTATTTTAGATATATATTGATAAAATGCATCTTTATTATTATATATTTTATATTTTATTATATATATCTTTGACAAAATATATGACAGATGATATGTTATTTCAGTAATTAATTTAATTTGATGTTGCTAAATATTGTGGGTAGATATTCTGTGATAGTTATATAAATAACTATAAAACAATATTTGGCCCTCCATTGACATCTCTTTTATTATTGTCTGGTCATAAAATTAACATTACAACACCACCTCCGCCGCATTCATCGGTTAAAAAAAGGAGAAGCAGAAAAGGTAAAGAAGCAACACCTTTTTATTTTAACATATTTTATTTTAGCTGTTATCCACAGGGCACATTTTTTAAAAGTTAGTTTATCTGAAATGCATATATATATCATTTTATTGATAAACTATTTTGAAGTAATGATAAATATTATCTAAAGGAGTTAGTCAGGAAAGTATTTTCTACAGTACTTTAGCGGTATTGGGAATATATATTATTGTTCCAAAATACTGTGAATTTTTATTGATATTGTCCTATTACTTCACCAAAAAAAAAAAAGGGTAATTAAATTTTGGGAATTTTAAATCCATTTGGATTTCAGCGGTATACGAAGTACTCTTGGGCTAGCTAAGACCCTGTATGTAAATACTAATAATAATATCTTTCTATATTTTGAGTTCCAATTTCAATTAATTTTTAAGATTAAAATAATGTTATAAGGATAGATATTTAAAAGTTTATGCTAAAAAATTCCTATAATCATAAACAAAAGGAAACTATTGTTAACATATTTATTGATAGAATACAATACTGCTGAATCCAGTTCCCCAGCTGTAAAGAAAAGGAAGTTAGTGTTGGAGGATTCTTCAGTTCAAATAACATCAATTAAGTATATTAAAGCGCATTATTTTTTTAATTTTATTCTTCTTTGATTTTTTTGAAATATCTTCTCATTTATAATCCATTTTAATATCTATATTTCTTTCATTAATACCTCATTTATCTAAAGAAGTAAAAATAATAATATTTGAATTTAAATGTGACATATACTTTGTCAAATCAGGAAAGTTGAATATATGTTATTTGTTCTAGCATTGTTCACAGAAAATATATTCAGCAAAAATGTCTCTCCTATTAAAGAAAATTTCTCATATGAAGTAGTATTATCCAGTCAAAGCCCCGCACAAAAATCTTCTTGCATTAAAAAATTAATGCAAAAAAGTTATACTGTGGAATCTCAGAAGGTGTCGGTTCCTACTTCTTCAGAATTCTGTAATACCAGAAGATTATCAGGTAGTGTTTAAATTAATTAATTTTGTCCTATGCAGAAAAGCTTTTTGTGTTATGGTTATGCAACAAGCAGAACTAAAAATTAACAATTTTTTTAATGCATTTCTTGAAGAAATGAATATGTTGAATATGTTGCTTATAAATTTGTGTTATGCTTTTTTTTGTTTAATTTTTATTGTTAAGTTTTGTGTGTCTTAAACAAGTTATATTTTTTTAACAATGAATTTAATTTAAAATGATTTAAAAATCTATGTTATAAATTATTTTCAGCATCACCAGTGGATTTCAGCAGTAGCAGTAGCAGTAGCAGTGGATTTCAGCAGTAGCAGTAGCTTTAAATCTTTGTATCTTGCAATGAATGAGAACTTTTCAACTAATGATACAGATACAATGAATATATCTGTTGCATCATTTCAAAGTAAGTATATATTTTTGTTTACACTTTCTAATGAAGTTTCTTTAATTATATAAAATGAATGAAATTAATCAACATGGAAATTATTCACAATAAAAAAAATCTCAAAGTAGACTGAACATGTTTATATATTGTAGGGTTCCAATCAAAAGTTTTTGAAAACTTTGTTGTTTTAAAAAAAAAAGTTAAGTCACTTAATAAGCGATATGAAAAGGATGATTCGCCTTTCTTTATTGAGCAAATAACTGATATTGAAAAGTTTAAAGAGTTCGATGAAACTCTGTGAAAATGAAAAAAAATTCATTTAGTTATAATTAATATTTTAGTTTATAACTTTAAAATTGTTTTGTTTTTTTCATCCTGAAGCAACTATATAATTAGAATTGTTAATTTCAATGAAATTTCTAAACACTTCAAAACATCTACTTTGATTTTGATTAGCTTGGTCGCTTTGAACACTGTGGAGGAAAAACATGTCATGAATATGTTAGTAATATTATGAACAAGTTGGTTATGATTGTCTTGTTTTTAAATTTAATCATTTATTTAAAACATATAAACATATATAAATGATTGATGTGGGTTATTGTATTACCATGTGTATTTATTATTACTATAGTCGCTGAGAGAATCATGATTGCTAAATTGCATCCTGGGTAGATTTCATAAAATAACTAAAACATTGTCAAATTTCAAAAATTTATTTTGGCTCTATGAATCTTCGCCGTACTCCCTCACTCCCCCTCCTTTCGGCGGTTATGATATTAAGTTGACATTTTTTGATGATTTTTTTTATATTTGATGTGCAAATTTCTTGTGTTACTTTTTAGGGTTATGTCAAACGGCGTCATGAGTGAGAACAATTTAAACGGGAAAATGGATAAGTTGTCTTTTCGAAAGACAAATACAATGAAGTTAATCGTCGGTATGTTATTTTTAACTATTAAAAATTAGATTAACAAATTATGGTAAAATTTCCGATCACTTTTCTTGTTAAATTCTAAAATACGGTTTTATAGCACTGTTAAAATTTGAGTCAGCAGGCATAGGTAAATATATTTTACATTAGCTATTTTGCAATTTACAATAACTTTTTTTTAATTTTAGAAAAAACAAGTTACAATCAAAAAAGTTAAAATTAAAATTAAGAAAATATTAGAAAATATATTAAATAGTTGGAGGAATCACTCATACAGCTAATAGCTCTATATATGGCAAATTAGTTAATTTACATAAATAAACTAATTTGCCATATGACAAGAGTTACTTTATTCTATTCCAATATTACTTTATTCTATTACTATATTCTATTCCAAATAACATTTTTGTTATTTTTCTAGCAACTGTTGCGAAGTCAAAGAAATATACAGAAAAAGATATCAAACTTAGTATTGGTGTGACTTTAAAACACGCTCCATTGCGAAAAGGTGGTTTAAAAAATCTAAGTAATGAAAACGATTAAAATGTCAAGAAATTTATAAATTTATATGTTCTTTAAATTATGTAAATCCTTAAATATTATTTTAATTAATCTTTAATATTGTTTAATCTTTTAATAGTGTTTAAAAAGTATTTTATCTTAATTCTTGTTTTTTATTTTCCAGAAATCCATAAACTCCGTGTTATGCTAGTATAAAACATGTTTTTTTAAAAAACCTAATATATTATAAGGGTTAAACCTAAGAGGAATCAGCTGCTTTTTCATTGCCTTATTATTTTAAACTAGTTTGTTAAACATACTAGTTTGTTTACTCCTTTTAAATATTTCTAAAAAACATTACTTTTATTTAAGTTATTTGTTTGGGTTTTTTGTGTATTACTTTATTTCAAACTTAATTGACATTTTTAGTGCCTTCAACCTTTTATTAAATTGGGTCTGTAGATAAAGGGGATACAAAACGAGCAAATTGCGTGTTTATATAGCTTTAACACACAAACGTCAAAAAAACGTCGCGAAGGCGCTAATATCCAGACGGTCTATATACGGAATATATAAACGGACCGTTTATAGTCACAAGTGCGACGTCATTACGACGTCGTTATTTGACGTCAAGCGGGATTACACTTTACGACTATAAACGGACCTTCTTAATACGACGTCCTCTTGACGTTCGTAAGTTTGCTAGGACAGGGTGATTCTAGGAATAAAATGATAGTTAAGCTAATCCCTAAATAGTGCTGACTGCTTTCTGAGAAATGTGTCAACTGCCTAATTAACCGACTATACTCATCAAAAACCATAACTTGAAAACTGCCTCCTTTGTGTGAGGGGGTTGTACCTTTCCACACCCTGTAGAATCGTCCCTGAAAGCATGCATTCATTATTTAGAAAAGTGATTAAACTCTTTTATATAATTTAGTGATTTGATTGGATTTATTTATATAAAATAAAAGACAGTACATTTAATCACCTTCTAGCATGTAGTTTTAATTGAATATAAAAAGGCATTAACATAAAAGAGAAAGTACAATCGTTTGGTCAATAATGTAATCTAAAATAATTTGTGCAAGCCAAAAAAAATTAATTATTAGAAACTCTCTGCATGAGCAATAGAGTTTATTTTTTTAAATTAAATACAAGCTAACTTGTATTAAAAAGATAAATTAGAAGCAACTGCTCCTAATCTAATTTAGAGAAAAGTTCCGATATTTACAACAATCTTATAAAATCGATGTGCAGCTTGCAAGTATCTAAATATTCAGATATTTAAAAAAATTGCTGAGATGTTTATTGTTTTGACACAATTCTGATATATTTCAATTTTTTTGTTTAATAATAGTTTTTAATATTATCAACTCGGCCAATATATCTTAATGTATAGAAATCAGGGCCGGCGCGAGTAGGTGTCACGTGGAGGGGTGCCATGACACCCCCGCACCCCCTATCGCGTCGGCATTGATAGTAATATATATTATACCTAAATACCATCATGTTATACTTTGTTGTTTATCTTTATCTTATGGATAACACCATTTTACAGATAATTCTACCGTAGTATCTCCTTAACTTTTTTGATAAAAAATAAACCACTGTGTAAAGTAAAATTATTAAAAAAAAAGGAAAATAGAAAGTTTTAAAAGCTATAAGCTACAAACTAATCAAACTTAGCTCAACTTGTATGAGTTGTTGGTTTAACCCAGGATGTTTCAAATAAGACATCTACTATCTTCTTCTATAACCTTTTAATGTTGTCATTTTGGGTACTCTGTTTTTGTTTCTAGCGAACCTACCCTTAGGCAGGTTTTCAATTTTTAAAAAATATCGCATGCGCAATTGCATCGTACAATTTTCAGGTCCGCATTTTTTAAGTAATATCAAAACCTACTCTTGGATCCTCCTAATTGGGCTAATATGTTAAAATGGAGTTAAGTGTTGCCTTTATTGATTCAAATCACGTTATTGAAATCATAATTTTTATTTGAAATAGTAAATTACAGATTTGTGATCAATAGGCTGCTTATAAGAAAAGTTTATCTTCAATTATAGCTTAGCCTTAACTCCGTTTGAAGCTATTAACCTCAAAAACGAGGTAGAAAGCTTCTTTACTATTATTAATAGTATATATTTATATTAAGTACCATGAAAAATAGTATATATTAATAATAATTAGTGACTTTTCTTTTATTATACAATTATAATATAAGCGTGTAATATACACTTATATAATAGTTATAATCTAATTATTTCAGATGTCATAATTTCACTAATGACCATGTCATATTACTTCAATAACAATGTAAACTCTTTATATTTTCATGAGTTTCATGAAAATGTAAAATATATCAAACATAAGTTACAATTACTTATTATGAACATAAATGTATGCCATTATATTCAGAATGTTATTTTAGTAATATTAATTATTTATACATTAAATTATAACAATATTAATTATTTTTAGTACACAAAATAATTTCTTTGAATTTGGTATGACTGTAAATAATACGAAAGATGATGGCAGGGATTTTGAGTTAAAGGAATTTAATGGCGAAGACCATCAGAATATATCGAAAGAGCAAAAAGAAACTGAAAATGATGCTATTGATTCACAAGTATCAGATGGAAAAAAATGGTATGTAATGTGATTATGGTTAATTTTCAATAAGAGTATAGATAAAAGTTTTATAAAAGTTATGCAGTTAGTATAAAAAGTAACTTTTAAAGACATTTTAAACATTTGTTGATGCAAAATTATATTTGGTATTTAATATGTTAATCTATTAAAATGGAGTTCATTACTATTTCTACTATCTCAAATAACTGTTTTTATTTGAAATATTACTTTTCTTAAATAATAATGCTTTTTTTGTGAAATGTATTTATGATGAAGATGCTTTTTTATGAAATATATCTATACATAAATCTGTATAAATTTTTTAAATTATCCTTTTTATAGTTTCAGTTTAATATATTGCCGACCTGAAGTGTTTTTAGTTGGGCAATTTTTTGCCAACCTTATTCTTCTGTATTGAGAGAGCTAGCTAATATATATATATATATATATATATATATATATATATATATATATATATATAAATATATATATATATATATATATATATATATATATATATATATATATATATATATATATATATATATATATATATATATATATATATATATATATATATATATATATATATATATATATACATTTTCAAGCTTGTGTGTAATAATTTCCACACAAGCTTTAAGGAACAGTATCTTTTTTAAAAACTTAAATATGTTAGCAAAAGAGTATATTTCAAGCAGCAGAAATAAAAAATTAACAAAGTAAATATCACAGAGATTTTTGTAAACATAATGATAAGTTTTAATATAATTTTGAACCACCCTAATAATATATATATATATGGAACTTGTTTTCTGACTCAGTTTAAAGGCTTTCTTTTTCTTTTGCAACTTTTTTTTTCTTATTTCAAAATTCTTATGTTTTCTTATTCTTTTTAAGTTTTTTCATTTAATAACTGTTCCTAAATAGCCAATTGTTTCTTTCTTAATCTTTCTTCTTTTATTTTTGACTTTTTATCCGCAGCTAATTGATTCTTACTTAGTTTTTCATCCTTTATTTACAACTTTCCTTGCACTTTTGTCTTCTGAATTTGCTGCCAAGTTTCAGATGTTACAACCGATGTTTGTAATATCTGAAACCATCTGAATGAAAACATCTAACCGATGGTAGACGTTTTACTTTGCGCTTAGACATTTGGACTGGTTGTGTTGACCATATTAAAACACTTTTGATTTGATTTATGATTTCTGCTGCTATTTTTAGACTAAATTATGATTTCTGCTGCTATTATTAAACTAAAACAAGCTGGTTTTGGTTCTATTACAGCTGCATTATTGAAATCAGGCATTTCCATATCGGTTATAACTTGCACATTTTCTAAATTACAATTTGTTGATAGATTTTTATTACCCTGTTGCATTTTATCAGGTAAAATTATAATCTTATATGTTTCAGATTAGGCTCTTTTCCAAAAATGATACAACTGGAGGTATTAAAGATCACCTTTCCAAACTAAATGTTCGTTAGCCATTTTAAACTGCTCTAAAATACTTTAATCAATGCACTTTTCAATAAAGGTAATAGGAGAGGAAGCTCACTTAATTGGTTCTCTTTTAAATAAGGAGCCAGAGCAACAGTTGACTCATAATTTTTGAACAATTTTTTTGTAGTCAGCACTATTAGCATCAAATGGAAAAATTCCGGTGTTTTTAAAACCACTTTTAATATTATTTGCTATAGAATGTTCAATTATAAAAGAATTTAATGCTTCTGGTACATTTTCATTGTTTACTTCTTGTCCTTCATGGTCAATGCGCCATTGTTGGCAAAAAGATTTCCACTTTGCTTTCATAGGCCCAAAAAGTGCCATATCGAGCGACTGCGAAATATGTGTCGCATTTGGGAACCAACCAACAAGAATTATTCCATTTTTAGAGCAAAACCCACTAAGTTCGATGGAAAAATGTGAGGCATAACCATTAAAAAAATTATAACTGGTAAAGAAATTTCTTCTTTTATCAAAAATGGATGAAAAGCGTTAGTAATATGCTCAAAAATGCATTCTGCACTCATCTAATCATTTTCACTTTTTTCAATACCCCATCCTGATGAAGCAGCATTTATAATCTATTTGGAAGACAAACATATTTAAAAATTGTTAATGATGGAGCAAAAGTTCCGCTGGCATTTACTGCAAATAAACTGGAGATGGTTTTTTTATTACATCAAGCACTTTCTTCATATTTTTTTTTTTCTCGTTCACCAATTAATAAATTAGTTTTTGGTGACAACTGAAAATCACTCTCACCCATATTAAAAGCGCACATCAAATCATTTAAATATTGAGCATTTTCTCCTAAAAGCTTCGGAATTTCAGTAAACAAATCTTTTATGGCTTTTTTAGTTACTTCTCCTCTAACTCAGTTTAAATATTCACCTCGTTTGCGACGGCAAAGAAATGCAAAAAACCAACCTTTTGCAGGACAGTTGTTAGTAAGTTATGTTTTTGTATTGTTGGAATTTAAATAATTTTGCACAGTATCTAATAGCTGTACTGCAGACATGGTAAATCTCATTCTGGTGCATGTTAGTAACCACTCGACTTAATTTTTTTCAATTTGTTCACCTAGTACCGATTCATACCCGCAGTGTTGTATCTTCAAAGAAGTTCCTCCAGATATTTTATTACAAAGTGTCTGATAAGGAATTCTAAATCTCTTGCTTGCTTTGTACACAACCATACCTTTTTTAACAGCATTAGTAGCATCACGTAGTCGACTATCTACATATTGAAGTCTTCCTCTTGAGCCTCACACTTTGTTTTATATTTTTGTCTTCCATTGTAAAAGAATCTAAGTAAAATAATATTTATTTTTATAGTAAAAAAGAAACAAACTAATTATCCATTAGATATACGATATGTATCAAATGACATTTTTTTTAGTTCATATTTATCGTACATTCAAAAATACTACATTGATACTATAATGATGAGTGGTTTTAATGATATTGATAATGATTCATGTTTTATTTACCTGATTAAGTCAATTTAGAAACGCTTCTAACGCTTCTAACACCTGCTACTTAAAAAAAAAGTGTTTTCATAGGCTGACGTAATAAACCCACTGATATTACTTACATATAAGTAACTATGTATTGCGGTTTCTATGTATTGTAATAGAAGTGCATGACGATGTTGTTGATAAACAAAGTATAAAAATAAATAAAAAATACCTACATTTTGTAAAATTTATGTTAGTATTTAAAACCTACGATAAGTGTCGACTCACGGTAGGTGTGGAAACTATATGATGATTTAAAGATTGAAACTTAAAAAATGATACAACATTCTTATTATATATATATATATATATATATATATATATATATATATATATATATATATATATATAATATATATATATATATATATATATATATAATATATATATATATATATATATATATATATATATATATATATATATATATATATATATAGAGAGAGAGAGAGAGAGAGAGAGAGAGAGAGAGAGAGAGAGAGAGAGAGAGAGAGAGAGAGAGAGAGAGAGAGAGAGAGAGAGAAAGAGAGAAAAAGAGAGAGAGAGAATAAACAGAACACAAACAAACATAAATCAACTTATGGGTGAGTCAACACCGTACCAGAGGTTCAGACAGAACACAAACATACATAAAAAACATAAAGTAACTTACGGGTGAGCGAACACCGCGCCAGAGGTTCAGACAGAACACAAACATACATATTAAGTAGATTACAGGTGAGCTAATGCAGTAACTAAAGCACCTCCAACTATAAAAAAAATATATATATATATATATTTTACTATAGGCATGACTGATTAATTATTAATAATAATATAATATAATAATTGACTGATTAATGAATAAAAAATAATAAAAATTGACTGATTAATGACTATTGAAAGATTAATTGACTATTGAAAGATTAGTGACTATTGAAAGATTAATGACTATTGACTAAAAATTTACTGATTAATGAATAAAAAAAAATAATTGACTGATTAATATTAATAATAATATAAAATAATATTACTATAGGCATGACTGATTAATATTAATAATAATCTTTATTAATAAATTGTTATTTTTATTTATAACTTAATAAGTATAATTATTGCTTTTTTAATTTTTTCTTAAATTTATTTACTACTTATACTATATATTTGTTATTATCAGGGTTGGCATTAAAAAACCCGCCCAATAAAACCCTCATTTTTTTCATCTAATTTTTATTACTGTTACCACATCAAATACTTCTTTGTTGTATGTTTCTTTAATGAAGTTACAAAGATCTTTAATGACATTACAAAGGAGTTTGGTAGAATACATGGCTGTTTTTTTTCATTTGACGCACAATCAGTAATGCATATTTTTTTGTTTATTTCCTCGTAAATTTTTTCTAAGAGTTCTCTTCCAAACATTATATGGTTAGGTGGATGGTCTCAATGAATTGATCATGTCTATAAATTCTTGATTTTCAGAAGTTTAAAATGATACATTTGCACTGAAGAAAAGTTTTGGTATTTTTATATCAATATTTTCTTTCTGTTCCATATTAGTTGATATTGTATATGAAGACATCAGCTGTTGCTTCTTACAAGGTGTTGGTAAACTTATAGAACTAACAGATGTTAAAGACATTTTTTTCAACTTGATGGTCCAGCTATTAGAGCAGATGCACTAATATTTAAATCATTATTTGGTACATCATCACAATTTTTATTTAAATATTTTGACAAATTGAGGTTGTCTCCTTCTGTATGCTTGTGTAAAAACTTTTTTGGTAATGTTTTAAATAGGGCTTTATTTGTTCTATCAAAGCATGTTGTTGCTAATCAAAGCATGACAATAGTCACAAGAAACCTTTGTACTGTTTTCAACTTCAGTCACTTTATCCCATTCTCCAGCTATCTTTCTCCCACTTCCCATCGGCATTTTTAATTATAAAAAATATTATTATTAAATCTAAAATAAATCAATATATATAGGTTTCTCATGATTTTTTTATTATTTTG